GTTTGTTTCTCTTGATTTATCTGGGAGAATTATCAAGTCCAAATTCAGATTTTTTTTAGCATAACATATCAATTCTAAGAAACACCACAGGTTCATCCAACATTTGCATGCAATGTACGTTGCAATTTAAGTTTTTCTCATTAATAACATTACAGACTTAACTGAAGCAATAAAACTTATGCCTCTTAAAATACCTGAAAGCAATGCAGGTGTTACAAACATTTTGCCCATAACTAAGCTTTAAATAATCAGTAGTAATGAAAATTAAATACATTCGCTACAGATGTATGCTTGTATAAGTGAAAGAACTATAACTCAGAGGGCCTAAGAGATTGAGATTTTAAACTGTCTTTTTCTTTTTTGCATACATCTAAAAATAGAATTAAAATTGCTTATAAACATGAGTATGTATTTATGATCATGATTAAAATGGATTTTTTATGCTTCTCAGAAGAAAATGTTCTAAAAGAATGGCTATAAAAATAGCAGTCTACTCTGACTGCAGTAACATAATGGTACTACAAATTTTTCTTGTTCATTAACTCAGCACAAAGAAGTAACATTCAACATCTCCTAGGATGGTACGTGTTCTTCCAACCACTTCTGCACTTGATCTGTGTGGTGAGTTGACCCCATCTGGATGTCAAGTGCCCACCTAAGCTGCTGTTACATCCCTCGCTTCCTAAGCATGGAATAGAAGAGAAAATACAACCAAATCTCCTGGGCTGAGATAAGAACAGGGGCACATCACTCACCCATTACCATCACATGCCAAACAGACTTATCTCAGGAAAATAAGTGTTATTTATTAGCAATGACATCTGAGGGTGATAAGAAGTAAAATCAAACTTTGAAACACCTCTCTCTCATCCGTCCATTCTCTCCAGCCTCAACTTCATTCTCAATTTCTCTACCTTGTCCCCTCCAGGGGTGCAGGGGGATGGAGAATGGGAGTTGAGATCAGTTCATCACATATCGTCTGTGGCACCCTTCTCTTCATACTCTTGCCCTGTTCCAGCATGGGGTCCCCCCTCTGGGAGAGAGTTTTTCACAGGTTACTGTAGCATAGGTCTTTCCCATGGGCTGCAGTCCTTCCGAAACACACTGCTCCAGCATAGGTCCCTCTCAGGTTCACAAGTCCTACCAGCCAGCCTGCTCCAGCATGGGCTATACTCTCCATGGGTCTGCAGGGCCTGGTAGGAACCTGCTCCAGTGGGGGCTTTCCTCCTTTTTTGGATGCATCCTCTTGTTCTGGTCTGGGGTCCTCTGAAGACTGCAGGTGTACCTCTGCTGCATCACTGATCTCCATGGGCTGCAGGGTCATAGCTGCCTCACCATGGCCTTCACCATGGGCTGCAGAGGAATCTCTGCCCTGCTACCAGGAGCACCTCCTCCCTTTCCTTCTTCCCTGACCTTGGTGTCTGCAGGGTTGTTTCCTACATATCCTCACTCCTCTTTCCAGCAGCTGCTGTCCAGAAACTTTTATTCCTGTCTTAAACACGCTATCCCAGAGACACCACCAGTATCACTGATGTGCTTGGCCTTGACCAGAGTTGGTTCTCTCTTGGAGTCAGCTGGCATTGTCTCCGTCAGACACGGGGGAGGCTTCTCACAGAAGGCACCCCATATCCTCCTCTCCCTCCAACCCCAACCCTGCCACACAAACCCAATGCAGTCTGAAATATTATCTTCATTTTGGTTTCCTCCAGAGGAAAAAAACATTCACACCTTGTAAAGATTAGTGGATGAGGTAAAATGCAGGACTATAGACAGGAAGAGAAGCTTATGCAAAAGCACAGAATTCCCTTTTCAAATAATTAATTCTTAATAGATTCAATATTTGAGCACTTTCAGAAAAAAGAAAAAAAAATATTTTGGATTGGTTTTCTTATCCCCAGAGCTTCCTTGTGCTTCATTTGCAAGATGCTTTGGAGAAACATCAGATGGAGAAAAACTGGTAAAAGGGATATTTAACATAAAATACATGCCCTTAACAAGCTAAAATGCTTTTTGAAACTAATGTATAAAACATTGCTTAACACTGTAATATCAATTCTGCCATCTTATCTCAATTACTTTTCTTTTCTCAAAGCAACTGAATCATTGTTTCTTAATTTACCCACAAAATGACAAATTTCCACCTAAATTTTAGAAGTGCAACCAGAAGTGCAACTTGGTCAAATGGAATCTCACTTCATTAGCTATCCTCGTAATAAAATTCTCTCCACTCAAAATTCTTGGCTCTGACTTGGAAAATTGCTAGCAGATTTATAACAAGGGGAAGTTCACTGGAAAAAATCTCTGCTACTTAAAAAACAGAGTATGTACTTTGTACTTAAGAGTCAATATCTCATTTGTGTGTTAAGGCCTACTCCCACTGGAATCACAAGGAAATCCAGGCTTATATTAACACACACACATTTGATCAATATTCTTGAAAGAAATGTAACTATTGATAAAGAGAAGCAAGCCATGAGATGAGGCCAGTTCATCAGATCAACAATGGGAATGAAAACAGCATCAAAGCTAGAAAGCCATTTCCATATTTTCAATGCCTTTTCATATTTTCAACAAAACCTCATGAGAGTGAAAACAATAGTGTCAATGGAAATATTTGAAGGTCTTTTTTAAACAAGTGCCAACTTGTTGACAATTATTGACAGTAGATGATTTTCCAGTTCACACTGGTATTTTTCTGCAATGCTGTTGAAGCTGAATTGCTTTGGACAAGCACTACATGAAATGTCGCAATGGTAATATGTCACAACGAGGAAAAGGTAAGCAGGGAAAATGGTGTCCTGAACTCCTCCTCTTAAATATCAGCTTTATTGTCCCCATAAAATGTCAATTTACTATTATTCCTTTCCCCACCTTCCTAAAAAATTCAGTCTCAGTGGAGAAACTACAGTGCTGAAGCATATCAATAAAAATGTAACTAGAATGTTCCACTTTGATGGCCCAACACTCTCCTACATGGTATAGAAAACATTTCCAAGTAGTAGAGACAATATATGATGATGTATTTTTTAGTATGGCCTGTATGCATGGTGTTACTGTACACCTTATTTATACATGCTTCTCAAAAAGGAAAAACAGTCTCTAGAGTAGTTTACTTTTCCTTTTCCCAAGATTTTCATTCTTTTAAAGCATGTATCTTCATATTTTCTCAGATCTTTGCAAGAACATTTTAGAAAGTAGCAACACTTAGAAAGTAAGAAACAGAGAGGTAACTCATTACAGTGACAGAAATTACTCATGACATTACCAATTCACTGTTGTAGAATTCAAAAGAAGATCAGAACTCAATTTTCCACTGTTCACTACCTATTTTGTAACTTTCTATAGCCCTTGGTATCATAGTACTTCCATATCAAGCATTTTGATTTCATTTTGTTTTCCTTGCTGTATTGGATCCAGCTCTCCACTGAATCAAAACTAAAATTTGGACAATGAGGCTGGAAATGAAAATTTTCTCTTCATTGTTCTTACTTTAAAAATGAATTTTAATATTTATCACAGATCTAATTGGTGCTAATATTTCTTCACAATAGAATAATTATCACACCAAGACTATTATGTTATCTAAAGAGTAGCAAAAATTGATGTCATGAAAATGTGATAAATCTTAGCTTTTTAATGAAGATGTGAGCCAGTATGGGCTTTGAAAGATCTGAAAATTTAATCCTTCAGGAAGAGGATAGTGGAAGATAAGATACTTCTTTCCAGTTTAGACAAAATTTTTCTTATGTTTACAGTGGGGTCCACTTGGAGAATTCTGTGGTCATTCTTAAATGTTTATTTGAACTGATAAAACTCTGGCATCATGTTATGGATGTAAAGCTGTGTTATTTCAACAATTTTAGTCTACATTTAGGTGTTGCTGATACAGTAATAACTTTACCATTGTCTGTGCAATGTAGCAACAAAAAAAGAATGAATACTTCATAGAAAATGTGATGATGAATCTAATGTCATGGTGATGAATTAGATATTTTCCTATTAAGAATTCAGAAATAAGAGGGGGAGGAGTGATTGGTGGGTAGGAGAGTTATATAAAGTTTTGTGAAACCAGTTATCTAAAATAATGGTCTGATATTCACTGGGGTTTTTTTGAATAATATTCAGGTTCAACTCAATTTTTTTCCTTTTTCTTGCCAAGAATAAGCAAATTTGAGGAGCTTTTACTTTGTTTCTAATTGTGCTCTGAAGAATGACTTCTGCAGCAACTTTGTGTAATATTTTAGAGTTTCCATAGGAACCAGGAGTGTAGATACAAAAATCTTTGGAGAAATTCAGAACAGGATAGGAGTTGAACAGAATTTTGACCCTGAGTGCTGGAAGAGGATCCAAAACCAAGAGAAGACAAAACCTATGCTAACCAAGAAGATCTTTAGTCACTAAACCATTAAAAAAATCTATAAAAAACAGCAATTTTGTGTTAGGTACTGACTGTTTTTTCAGCTTTTGAATCCCCATTAATTTTAGCTTCACTGTATTCAGGTTTCTGTATCAGTTACAGTGCTTAAAAAATAATGGGGAAACAAAATCATTGAAATAATTTATTGCCTATAACTGCAGGTTTTCATTATACCAATATCTAGAAGCCTCCAGCTTTATATATCAGTCATGTGCATATGTATCGCTAATCTTAAAATAGGTGGGGCAGCTGGAATGTTTTGTTGCTACATTTTTTAAGAACTAGATACCTAATTAATGTAAAATTACAGTTGATTTTTTTTTCCTTATTGCTTTTAAGTAAAAGGAAAAAACATAAATAAAACAAGACACAAACCAGTGCCTGAAAAATCCTGTCCTGCAGCAATTACATAGGTGTATAGCAATATTCATCTGCTGCATCTACAGGCTGGTTTTTTGCCAAGTATTTTATTCTTGTATTCATTTGCTGTTTAAGAATGATGGCAGCAGATGGTCGAGAAGGTAACTTATTCACTGTTTAATTTGGTCTGTTTATTCTGTTGGTAATTAGTTCCATTCCTCAGGGCCCACTGTTCGCTCCTGTTCCCACCATCCTCTGAACCATTGGAGACTGTGCATTGCTCAGGAAGACATTCTGGATTTGGAGAGCTGGTGCTTCTGGTGACATTGAGAAATCTCTCAGCTGCCTGGCTAGTGAGTTTTCCTCACACAATTCAATCACCAGATTTTGAGTTACGACCTGATATTTCCTCCATCTCATCTTCCTTTTTTTCATCCAGTTTGGAGGTGATTGTTTTGCTTTTACTGACTTTGGAAGCATGTAGCAGTGTCTTGGGTAATATGAGTTCATGAGTATTCAGTTAGTACAAGGACTTTAATCTTTTCTCTTCCTATAGCTTTGTGGTTTCTCTTGTTCAACTAATATTTTTAGTTTAAAATACAGCGCTAATATTTTTTGAGATGAGTCGTAAATTGACAGATAGAGTTTTCTCTGACATCCATTTAAATTGCTGTCAAAACACTTAATAACTTCAGTGTTCTGAGACCTGAACAAGCATTCAGGATGTCTTTGAAGAATTTGAGTTAATACTTGAATTCCTGAGATCTTAATACTTGGATCTATCTTTTTAAAATTTGTTATACAGCTTTTCTGAAAGTTTTGAGTAGTGATTCATTATTGATAATTACTATTAAACTCATGTGAATTCTAGCCTGAAACCTAACATTTTCTTAAATGATTTTTTTTTTACTTCCTTTAATTGTTAAATAACTGACATAAAATACTTAATACTGAAAGAAAATAGTATAAATGGGATAGTTTTAATAAACTAAAGTAAGGCTTAATTTTATCAAGTGAATAGTATTTTATCGAATCATCTAAATGCCTAAATATGACCATATTGGTACAACTGGATATATTCAGCATAATATATTTTAAATGAAGTACTCTTGACAGATACTGTGTCTGTTAGAACATTTAATAAAAACTAAAATAGTTATGAAATAGGTCAACACTATTCTCAAAGCCACCACATCATGCTTTCTCTAAAATCCAGTGTTGTTAGGAATGAGGATTTCACTTGGAATTACTTTACGAAAATTCTGCATAATGAAGCTTCACAGAAGAGTTCTTGAAATATTTTTGATGCAGTAGTTTCCACTCTTGACATAAAGCCTCAAACTGAGATGCTTATGGAATGACATCATTCTAATAAATTTGTGGAAGATTTATTGTTTTGTAATAGGTTGTCTTAAGGATTAACTGAAAACTTTTATTACTTTGAAGTAAATAAAAAAAAGTATACAAAAAATTTTGCTTATGAAGTCTTTATATTATCTGTAAGAAGAACTGTAAGTTTTCTTTTTATGATTAGCTTGTGTTTTATGGGGTAAGAAAATGCTGAAGAAAATAATGCTATTATGATTGTACATGGATAGACCAAGTGAACTCATAAAATTATATTTTTCCCTATTAATCCTTTTATTATAAATTTTGCGTTCTTCGATAGCAAACAATTTTATGGCATCGAATGACAGAAAACTAAAGCCAAATAACTTTAAACATGAGCCAAGGAATGAACATGAGAATAATTTTACTTAAAAAAAATTTAATATGGTTTGTGATAGGTTTTCCAATGTTATAAATATTTTACTTGAAATAGTGTGTTCTTCAAAAGGTATCCTCTAACTCAAAACATGAACTAATGAAAAAATCCTGCAGCCTATATATCAGGCTAAATTCTCACTGTGTATGCATCTTTATTTGCATTGAATGGATTTTGTCTCCAGCAATTTGCCTGTAGGTTATCATCTCGTGTTAAGGGAATAACATTAGATGAATTTCTTTTCTTCCATATGTGATTCTTAAATCATGTACACTAGGAAATACAATGCCATGGCAAGTAATACTAGCATGATTGTCATATTATTGTTGCTACTGCTCCTGTACTACATTTAAGCACAAACCAAGATTGGGGTCCTGCTATCACAGAAAATTGATCAGCAGAAAATTATTGAGTGAGCTTCTTGAACAGTCTTAATTCACCCCAGACCCTTCTTTCAAACTACTGTGCTTACTTCCTTTGGTATATTCAGTTTTTCTCTGACTTGTGCTGTTAACACAGAGAGGAAAAGGCTAAATAGAAGAGATGGTCATGAGTGACTTTAAATGAAAAATAATTCTTGTCTGAAACAAGCTACTGAGAAATAAAACAGAGGACAAAATTATAATGTTGCAATAAAACCATCAATGTCAATAAGAAGTACATATGTTGGACTTAGCAACTGCAAAATGACATCAAAATATTAAATTTAGAAAGGAGGTGACAGGTGTCAGTCAATGTGCAAACCACTTTAGGTCTGCTTTTGTTGTTTTGTTTTAAGAATTATGAACTATGACAGTTTCAATATTTGCCTATGATCTCCAATAAGCAGTAAAACTGAGCTGGGCTGCTATTTAGAAAATGTTTACACTGCTGTATGTCTGCAGCTAACATCCTGCATGAGTCAAATATTCATTAGTGTTCAAGACTCAATAATTTACAACCAAATTTATGGCTGTCTCCTTTTTATATTCCCCTTGCATCAAAAGACATGAATTGTGACAAATGTAACAGAAATATTAAGAGGCAGTTTCTGAGGAGGGAATCACACCTACTTCTGCTCTTTTTTAATAAAATATATTATAAATCTCGGGTGTACCTGGAAGAAGCTATCAAGCCATATAAATTGGACACATACTGAAGTTTAACTCAATGAAACTTTCTTTATCATAATCAAGATTTTCTTTTGCCACTTATTTTTTTTTCAAAACTTCTCATGCAGCTTCCAAAGAAGATAGAGATGAAATGGGATCTATGGTGCATGGTAGAAAAATATTAATAATTTTGATTTTCAAGAGTGTTCTTAGTATCAGATATCTGAATATTAGTTACACGTTTCAATAGTACTATTAAAGCCAAGGGAAGAGAGAATGAAAAAGACTTAGAAAAATGTCAGAATTATGAAGTATACAAATGATTACTTCTGGCAAGGATCTCGAGCTTGCACAAGTTATTTAAGGAGGGAATTATTACTATTCTCTTAATAGTCAAGGTTTGAAATTGTGTTAGGTTTTGTGGTTCCATTGCTTGAATGGTCCCATCCAAAGGGTACTGATGAGCAGCTCAAGGTCCAGGTGGAAATTAATGACAAGTGATGTTCCTCAAGGGCCAGCACTGGGACCAGTTCAATACTTCATCAATCACATCTAGCGGGATTGATTACACTTTTAGCAAGTTTGTACATGACACCAAGCTGAGTTGTGCAGTTGACACATCTGAGGAACAGGATGTCATCCAGATGAACCTGAACAAGCTCAAGAAGTGGGTCCATGGGAACCTCATGAGATTTAATGAGGCCAAGTATAATTTGCTGCACCTGGGTCAGAGCAACCCTCAGTATCACTGCAGGCTGGGGAATGAATGGGTTAAAAACAGCCCTGCAATGAAGGCCCTGGGGGTTCTGGTGGGGGAGAGGCTGGACATAACCCAACAGTGTGAACTTGCAGCCCAAAAACCAGCTGTATCCTGGGTTGCATCGAAAACAGTGTAAGGCAGTGGGGCAAGGGAGGGGATTCCACCTCTCTTCTCCTCTCTTGTGGGGCCCCATTGCTGCATCCAGCTCTGGGGTCCCAGCACAGGAAGGACATGGACCTGTTGGAGTGAGTCCAGAGGAGGACACCAAAATGTTCAGAGGGATGGAACACCTCTCCTATGAGGAAAGGCTGGGAGAATCAGGATTGTCCAGAAGAGACTTTATAGTCTCTGTAGACTTTGTAGTGACCTAATTGTGGCTTTCCACATGAAGGGAGCTTACAAGGAACATGAACAGAGACTTTTGCAAGGGCGTATAGTAACAGGACAAGAGAAATAATGGTTTTAAATTGAAAAAGAGCAAATTCAGGCAAGATATATGGAAGAAATTTTTACAATGGTGATGGTAAGGCACTTGAACAGGTTACTCATAGAGGTGGTAGAAAACATCAGCATTAAGGTTGGATGTGGCTCTGAGTAGCCTGATGTTGCTGAAGACATCCCTATGCATTGCAGGGGGTTGGACTAGCTGACCTTTTGAAAGTCCATTTGAACTTAAACTCTTCTATGATACTACCATTCTATGAAAAATAAATGCACTCAAAGAAAGTATGAATTTGCCAAACATTCTGCATGTGTATGGCTTGCTTGTGAAGAATGGAATCACAAAAGCAAATATAAAGTTACATAATCAAGAAATTTTGGTCTCATTTATCTGAATCATTTTTGCTTTTTAACATGACTAGCAACCTCTGGACCTTGTTCAAGCAAGATTCTCAGTACACTATAAACATGGCTTTTAAATTAATGCATATACTGAGAGTGATGAATTTCCTTAAGTGATGCTATGTTTGTTTCTCATGTTAAACTTCAGTACATATCTGACAGCCTTTTCTAAGAAGTGCTGTAATATTACTTATAGTGAAACTTCAGTCTAGCAGAAAAGGCATAGACTGCTTATTACAGCAGCTACAAGTGGCTCAGGACATTACTGAGAAATATCTCCTATAAGCCAGGGGTCTCAATGACCATCTTAGCATTGAGTGAAACTATCTTGATATGTGGTTTGAATTGAAGAATATTTGATATTATTTTCTTTTTGAGCTTTTAATGAATATGCTACAAGTTAAAATAAGGAGTTTTGCACATTCAGTGTAAGGAATAAAAATCTGTATTTGATCTGTGACAAGCAGAAAAGAGTGGACTTCTAGAACAGGTTTGTATACAGATGCAAAGCCACATGGACACGCTTGGAGTTCAACACAAGCACAGGGGTAGGCACAAACTGCAATCTGTCCAAAATGATGTGATAGAGACATATGTACCAATTTACACAGTGTTTGGGCTGCATCCAGAGCTCATTGTAAGAGCAAGGCTTTGTCTTCAGGCAAGGATATACTTTATTTTCTTCTTTTCAATACTTTAGCTTACATCCCAAAAATACTCATTAATGGACATGTTCTGTGACCTCTGGGAAATCAATGACTATATTTTGTTCTGATTCCCATAGCAGGCTAGTCACAGCTGTAAATCTGGGCTATAAACAGTGACACATAACAACAAACATGTCAGTTTTCTACAATCAACTGATAATGCCTCTAAATTATAGATAATGGTGAGTAGCTTTAAGAATACTCCTAATACTACTTACATTTTTCTGCTATGCTTCATGTAGTACATTAGGTAAAGTAAGTTAAACTGGAAAAACTAAGGGGCTGAATGAAATACTGAATATTTGCCTCTTCACTTCTAAAAAAGGAAAGGTTATTAGAAAAAAATATGCCCCTCCAAGAAAGTATTTATTGAAGCATGAGCTTAGATTTTAAATAAACAATATTGTTTTTACTTTCTTCAGACTTGAATCGGTGAATGTTTTAAAGGTAAGGCTAATTGGAAAATTAATTAAACACTTTTTTTAATGAAGTTCTTTTTCTAATTACAACCTTATTTCTCCCATCCTGTTTTTAGATAGATCTTTGTTGAAATTATATTATTCAGTTATATGTCAGATAGACTACGATATAGTCCAAATACAATGGAGAAAAAAATTGCTTCCTGGCTCCCAAAATGAAAATCTAATTGTAGTGCTGGGCTAAGATCTGATTTAGATGTTTAACAGAGTTTCTACAGCTTCCAAAAATTAAGTGTTGAACACAAAGGAGTATTAAAACCAAGAGAAATAGAAAAGTCTCATTGACATGAACAGCCATCCAGCTAGTGAAAGTTCTCTGTTTTTAACTGCAAATGAAGGAGATGGCTCAGAAAAAGTATCAGCACAGAGCGTGGTTAGTGATACTTCTTTTTGTGATCTGTGACCATTCTCAGTTCAGAGCTTCTGGTCATCTGCAGCTCTCTATGAATTACATAGTCCTCACTGAGTTTTTCTTCCATGAATTTATTCTGCCCCTCTTTGAAGATATTGGGACTTAATGTTCCTCTATCTTTTGCAAAGTTAGTCCACAGTAATCCTGCAGAACCATTTCCTGGAAGTAAACGCTTATTTTTTTCTTCAAAATAATAGAGATAATTTACTTTTTCTTGTAAATGTCCCTTTATTAGTGCTGAACGCTACTCCTGACTGGTCTGCACTTGGACATCTAGCCAGAAACCATGAGTGTCACCATCCAGCCAATTTTTTATCCACCAAGGGGTTCACACACCAAAACCATTGTCTCTCCAGCTTAGAGGCAAGGATGTCATGTGAGACAATGTCAGATGCTCGGCACAAGTCCAGGTAAATGTCATTTGTTGCTCTTCCCTTATCTACCAATACTGTTACCCTGTCATAAAAGGTCACCAGTTTTGTCAGGTACAATTTCCTCTTAATGGGGCCATGTGGGCTGTCACCACCAAGTTCTTTATTCTCTATGTGACTTAGCCCATGTTCCAGGAGGAATTCTTTGTAAAAATAGGTGTTATATTTCTTTTTTTCCTGTCAGTAGGAACTTTACAAGGCTAACATGATTTCCCAAATATGATGTATAGTGGCTTAGCCACTTCATCTGTCAGTTGCCTCAGGACCTGAGGATGCGTCTCATCAGGTCACATGGACCCATGAAATGTTGGAGTTCAAGATCCTGGAGGCAGCAAGGGGCTAAAAATCTCCTGAAAGTTCTATGAAGGTCACAGACTACTAAAGCATTTGTTTGAATTTTATAAAGCATTCATAGTATATAAGACAAAAAATAAATATGCTTTCCTGAAACAGGTACTTTATCTTCTTTCCTTCTGATTTCCTATTGTCATGGGCACATACATTTTCAGAAATAAAATTAAAACAAAAAATAAACAAAACCAGAAAGTGTTGGATGAATGAATTGTGCAGACAAAGCAAGTGTCACTCCAAATGTGGGGAACTGGAACGTTTGGATTTAGCAGTCTCCTTTTTCATAGCCATCTCTGCATTTCTCTACAGAAGGTAAGAGGGCTATTGATCACATTTGACCTAGACCATTTCCAGCGTGGATATTTACATATGAATGAGACATCATAGAAAACTCTTATGGATACTAAAAACAGAAAGGTTTGCAGGGACTCATCACTTGACCAGTTTTAGATGTCTGACATTTTGGATGAAATGTTCATGTATAGTGGAAAGAATCTGTCTGAGCAACATTTTTAAATGAAGAAGTAAAAAAAGACAGGAAATGGAAGAGAACTAAACATGGAAACTCTTGCCATATGCTCATAACACCTGAGTGCAAGCTCTAGGACAGATTCAATGACAATAGTGAAAATTCAAAGGGAACTGAAATGCTTTCCAGCAACAAATGCAACAGACTTCCAACAACATTCAGGTGATTTCTGACAAGAAAATTAGATTACATGTAACTCAAGGAAGGCATGTATGAATATGTAAAGGTGCCTAAATTTAGGTACTGAAAACTTCGAAGACAAATAATAAGAAAGCTGGGTACCTCTCAGGGTACTCAACAAAATACAGTGTTTTATTTAGGTACAACTTAAACTGCAATCTATCCTAACATGTCTACCTTTGAAAGATAGTGAATAGCATTAGAATTGCAAACCTATATTTTTTTAGCAATATAAGAACAAATAATAATATAACAAATATAATAATATAATATAATATAATATAATATAATATAATATACAAATATTATAGACAAATATCTAGAGTGTAATCATATAAGAAATAGTCAAAATGGATTTTAAAGTGCAAATCATATATCCTTGCACACATGAAGGGATAGAAAAGATAGATACAGGATGTTCCATGTTTGTGCATAAATGTCATACTGAAGAAAAGAAGGACATCTTGGGCATAACCAGAAGATAAAATCAAAAATTTATGTATTATACTGCTACAAGGAATACTAGCTCAGAGTTTCTAAATATTTCCTACTGTCTACAATTTTTCCCTTTTGTGATAGAAGATAAACACAGGTGACATCAATTGTTCTCACACTCAGTGCAGACATTCTTGCATGACATCTATCTACTTAAGAAAGCTGTCAAAAGTGGGCACATCCATCCCATCCTTTCTTTCCTTTTTTAATCTCCTGAATTTAATTTCTGTAAATTCACAGAAATTGCTAATGGTGATGTGACACTTTCTCCAGATACTGCCTAACTAGTCTATAATGAACCCATCTAGTTCATTATTAGAAAACATGTTAGTTATCAAGGTTCTTAACCTGCACTTTGGTGCATGGATTTACATGCATTTTATGGATGCAATAAAAGTTTGACCAGCTTCAGTCACAAATCACTTATTTCAACCATTTCAATCAGCTTCAATCTTCTATTTTCCCATTTGTAAAGCTAGTTTTGTGTGGAAATTAAAATATATCCTCAGTTCCACTAATTGCTGCTCTTTGTATTGCTATAGCTCTTTAATAAAATGTCTGGGAAGCAGAGCAAAAACAGGTTCTAAAAAAGTGCTGGAACTGTGAGTATTTGACAGTTCTATCTGGCTTTTGTTCATTTATAGTTCAAGACATTCACAGATATTCAAGACAATTAAAATGTAGTTCTTGGGAAAAAAATGGCATACAGTTTTTTGGGACCATTTTAACAGATAGGTTCTTTTTTATTAAACGGACAGTATCTCATACTCAATGGTAAAAAACAGTGTAGACAAAATTTTATGTAAAAAAACCAATGAAGATACAGATAATCTAGAAACAATTATGGTGACATTTTAAAACCTACATTTTTAAGAACTGGATGAGGAAAAAAATAAAATTCTGTTTCATTCAAGTCTGTAAAAAAGTACAAAACTGAAAGTTTCAGTGCACCACTGGGAATTCTTTTATATCGCTCTGGTATGCATTGTAAGAGATCTGTAAGGATGTAAGTGGCATAAGCACTGCAGGGAAGGAAATTCATAGAAATGTGCTAGGGCAAAAATCACCTATTTTAAAATAGTGCTAATTATTTTCCTGCTGTTTCTCCTTTGCTATCTTCAATATATGCTGTACCTCTCTATCCCAATTAAAGTTAATAACAGTTACATTACTTCATCTGGTGTTCCCATTTTGTATTTTACTTACACATAAGATGTTATATTTTACATGTGTAAATCTGTATTGATCACAAAAAAAATCCTAGCAAATGCTCTGAACAGACTTTAACTGCAAGACTGATTTATGGTTCTTGTAACAAAGTTTTGGCAAGCAGCACTCATTCATTTCAGTTTTGAATTTGAACCAAAGAAATCTCACCAGTACTCAGATTTTATCTGGTGCCAGACACTGGGATAACCATGCTGATCTCTGCAACCAATTTAATTTCTGAATATAAATCTAATGGAACCAAATAAATGGGAATTTTGAATGAATTGTGCTGTATTTTAATCATCACTTGCTATTTAAATAGTTAATGAAAAATCAGTTCCTCAAGGAGAAACAGTTTCATGCATGACTTCATCATACTTTCATTTTTTTCTCACATACCAGAAATAAGACCGCTCTGCAAATAGGCTGTTAATCACCTAAAACTAAATGTTAATCCTGTTAACCTACTTCCAGTGTTTAAATCTTGTTTGGTTAATGTCATAACAATAATAATAAAAAAAATTAAACCTTTTTGCACTCTCAAAAATGTTTTCTCAGAGGGCTATTCATTGCTCCCAGAAAATACTCTGTATTTTCAAAACAGAAGACCTCTTTCATCTGTGTGTTTCCAGTAAAGCTGAGCTTTCCCTAACCACCTTTCTTTTTTTTCCCTTTTAACTTGCAATAGGCTACCTTCCAAGAATCTGCTAACATGTGCTAACAAAAATCAAGATCTCTCCTGAAACTGAAGCACACAGAACAGTGCCTAAAATCAATTTGTATTGTAGTTTGAAATCATCTTTAACAACCCAGACAAATGCAAATGCATGCAATCAGTTTATATATGCAAGATTGTGTCAGTAGCATGCATTATGCTTTCAATAGAACTATCAGGGATGTGAACAGTTTTTGATGTTAAGTTTACAAAGTTGTTTAATAATTTCTATTCATGAGTATTCAAATAAAACAGACTATATACAAAACACAGGACTCAGATGATTCATTTTTTGTGAAATTAAAATTTGTTCTTTGGGTTATTAACAATCCCTCTCCCTGTGCATTATTAACAAATTTCAGCATTAAGATTTTTTTCTGATTTTTCCAAGTAACATGATTAGCCATAATTTATTTGAAAGCAAAATGGAGTCTTGCTCTGTCTCATAGTGGCATATGCCAGAGAAGGCAATAGTGCATTCTAGAAATAACTTCATTATTTCCATGAAGGCTTTGAATGCTCCAAACAGGCTCTATCAAACTCTGTGGAGTTTTTAATTTTATAAATATTTTACCATATTTTGTTTTACTTTGAAGTATAAGAAATTAGAATCTTTAATAATTGGCTAGAATATTATGAAGGGCAGCATTGAAAATTTTACAATCTATTGCCTCCAAGCTTTTTCAAAAGACTAGAGCATATGGTTAATTGTTAGATATTGATTAGACAGGCCAGAAATGTCAGCTGTTGTTGACATTTTTATTGTTATTACTATTAATGTTTACTTTCTTCTGTCTATAGAAGTCAGAATTGTATAAATGTTATATTAAGGAAAAGATACATATTTTTTAGTGTAGTGAATAGAAGATGCATCTATTCTTAGTCTGTTTTTTACTACAATCCTCAGCTAAATTCTATGCAGTTCAGATAAATTAAGCTTTGGGTTTTTTTGCTTTTAGCACCTTACATATTGTGCAAATATATTAATACAGATTAAATGGACTTTTGAGGCATGTTCACCAAGCCCACTAATTCAGATTCACCTCTCATCTTTCCCAAGCAGCACTGCTTTAATCTCTCTAACAATCCTGTTTCATGGACCAAGATGCATCATATGCCCATGATGGATTGCCTTCATAACTAAATTACAAACTTAGGTACTTAGAATAACACAATCATAGAATGGTTTGGGATGGAAGAGACCTTTAAAGATCACCCAGTTCAACCCTGTCATCCCTGTTACCCAGCCTGACACTGAACATTTCCAGTAATGGGGCATTCCCATCTTCTCTGGACAACTTGTTTCAGTGCCTCATCAGCCTCATACTAAAGCATCTCCTCTTATATAAAACCTAAATTTGCACTCAGTTTAAAGCTGTTTGTCCTTTGCCCTGTTGCAACAGACCCTGGTAAAGAGTTTTTTTCCGTCTTACTTATATAAACCTCCTTTTGCATATTCAGTGGCCAGGTAAGTTGTCAGAAATTTCTCTTCTGCAGACTGAGCAACTGAGCTCTTCCAGTCTTCACAGAAGAGATGCTCAATCCTTCTGATCACTTATGTGTCAGTCTTCAGGTGCAACTCCAACAGGTCCATATTTTCTTGTAGTGTAGCTGGACGCAGTCTCTCACAAGAGCAGAGAAGAAAAGAATCATCTCCCTTGACCTGCTGACCACACTTCCTTTTATGCAGCCTGGGGTATGAAAGCCTTTTTGGGCTGCAACTGTATATTGCTGGCTCACTTGCAACTTTTCTGGTTACTGGTGGATGAAAAAGTCCTTTCAAGTACTTCATTTAGCTTACGCAGTAACCACAAAGGTGGAAAATGAAATACAGCCTTAACAAAATGCTTTCCAATGTAAAATGAATTAAATGAGATGGGGAATTTGTGCTGATTTGGACATAGCACAGTATGGGGAAGATGCACAGGACATTTCAAAAAGGAAAAAAATATTTTGCATGAAAATCAGGCCATTTCACTACCTGGTGCACCTTAGTGTCTGACAGTCTAGCCACACACTGGGAACTTTGGAAATCTGCCAGAATGTAAAGAAATGAACTGCAGATTTCCTTATCTTTTCTCTTTGTTTTGAAGAAGACCATAGCACTGAGTGTTAGCCAAGAATATTCTTCCTATTTAGTGGATTCAAAAAGTGGTGATGTGGTACTGGAGAAAGACATCTGGCACAGCTTGTGGAAAGCCTATTTTGGAAGCTCAAAAAAGAAAAAAAAAAGGAGTTGTGTAATCCTTGGGAAAGCTAATCTTACTATGCGTACTTACTTTTTGTTTCTTAGCCAGCTTTCTTATTTCTGTTCTTATGCTTCTGACAATATGTTGTAAAACTGAAACATCCCACGGAAAATTTTGAAATTTTGCATGAGTCTCATTAAAAGTCTTTCCTTTCAAGGCTCCATAATCCACAGAAGTTGTTTTGAACTCTATTACAAAGAATTCTTCTTAATTATTTTTGATTAACACACTTCAGTAAGCTCTTGCAAGAAAAGTACCATCCAAAAATACTCACAGATTTTGGTTCTAATTGGAACCAGATTTTGATTATGTGTTTACACATGAAATGTTCTGAAAATTAAATACCTTCAACTGAGTGCATGGAGAAGAGGCTAGATACTGAGTGTTAGCATCCAAGGAGCAGTAGTTTCAGGACAGAAGCACATATGTCAAAATAGGAACCAAAATCTCTAGTTTCTTTACCCCTATGGTGAGCAGAGGAATGATAGCAGTATCATGTTTTGCTACTGCAGTAGTTGTAAAAAAACAAGTAGCTGTTAACAAATCCCATTTTACTTAGGCTACCAAAG